CACACACACACACACACACACCCAGAGTCAGACTGGTAGATGCACACACACTCTACAATAAACCCTCTCTGTCTCACTCTCTCTGTAGAGTAGAGTTCAGCATGAATTATTAATGCCTCGTGTTGTTTTGGCATTTGGGGGAGTATCAGGGGAGCTGGAGAGTAATGGAGAGGAGAGACTTAAGAAGAGAGCACATTTCTCGTATCGGTTATTTCTGAAATGTCACAAGCATTGCTCAAACACCATTTCTTCTTTTAACTAAACTCTGACTTTCCACATTCCCACATTCCCTGCAGGCTCTGGAAAAACAGCTGAACATTACTTTTTTTATCATAGCTATTAAAGGACAACTCTTTCTTCCACTTCCTCGTTCCCTCCAAAGCCCCCTATGCCCCCTGTTGCTTAGCTTCTGCCGACCCTTACTCTGCGTTCTGGTCCGCAGCCTCTCCTGCGGTGACGGGGTTAGCTGCTTACTCATGGAAATGGACAGAGATTCTGCTTAGAGGGCACTTTGCTTCCCGCTTAGGAGGCAAACGCAGGAAGCCATGACAATAAACTATACAGCACAGTCTCTGTAACAGCTGCTGCAAAACAGTCCAACTTGCATACACCATATAGGTTTTATAAACTATATACATTAATTTTATACACACACAGACAGCCAGTGCATCTCTGTTGTACTTTGAGCTTGTGAACTGCTTGCGTGCACTGCCAGGTTAAACATTAAGAAATCACTGAATTAGCCAGAAGGGAGGATGTCGGTGTCAGTGTGCTTAAGAAAACAGAACTTTGAGAAAGTCAACACACTGGTTAATGATAATGAGAAACACTCTAACCTGAGGAGATTACATAAGGCTCTGAGTTTATGGTAGCCTGACTGTAAGTCAACATCACAAGACCCAGATTTACCGCAAAACTCGAGATAATGTTTGACTTAAAAGGAGGGAAAGCAAGAGGTGATCACACCTGTTCATGCAGCAATCCTGTAAGAGGAATCAATTTCCCCTAAAGAGGAACAAACAACTACAAACTAATGCAGCAAAAGATTTTCCGTAAAACTGAGCTACCCATGTCATTACTTGTTTTCTGAGTATACAGAAATTAGAGGACACAGATTGTGTTACATAATAGGCTGATTTAAACACACAGCATCCCACTATTCATTAGCTTTAATTCTTTCAATAAAAACATCATGTTTGTTTCCTCTTCTTCCAAATAAAAAACTGAATCATTTACCCGAAGTTTGGTGTAAGGGAAGTCATTAAGTTGTTAGCTATATGGAGCCTCACGAGGTTGCCAGGTCTGGCAGGTTGGCACGACTCAGCAGGAACTTTGCCAGGAAGTCTTTCTTTTGCTGTTCCCTGAACTCATCTGATGTACCCATCAACACTTGCTGTAACATCCAGGTCTATTTCCAGGTTAAATACAGCAGGCTGTTAACATTTTTTTCCCCCCAAACACAAAGATTGAGGTCTAGATTTTCTGCACTTTGAAATGGCCCTTAAAACCATAAGTGGGCAATTAACTTTCCCAAGAGACCACATGACAAGCTGGGGCTGTTGTGAAGCGACACACCAAAAAGCCCAACTCAATTTTACTTATTAATTTTCTTTCTTTATAAAAGTGCTACTAGAAAGAGTCGTTCAGTTCAGTTACTTCTGTCTAAATCTGCCTTCAATCATTTTTAAAGTGTCCAAATCTGAAATTTGTCAGATTTGGACATAACGTCTGCCAGTTATCTGTGAACAAATCACTCCCTGTTACAGTCCCTTTCACTAAGGTCATTCCTGCCAGCTCCTCTGTAATATACTTGGGATTTACCTAAAATAATAAGTAACTGGCCTGTGTAATTGTCACTGGGTGGGATTGACACAGCCCTCACCCAGAGCCAAAGAGAAACACTCAAAATCATCTCTGTGTGTTTAGTCTCAGAATGGCGATTCAAATTGTACTCCTCAAACACACAAATGAGCTCTCCACAAGCAAAGCACACAGTCTTACCTCTGACCTCAGTAAATACATACTTACATACATGTCTTGTTAAAAAAACCTCTACACCCTGAAACTGTCTTTTTATTTTATTTTTAGTGCGAGCTGACATTTTCATATCGTATCATATCTCTCATAAGTGTTTCCACGAACATGTTTACAGTGAAGCTCCATTTGCTTGCACACATGTACATATATAGATTTAAAAAAAAAAAAACGAACAACAAAACCCCAAAGGTGACTTTAAAATAAAAGCACAACTAACTAGAGGCTGTCCGATGCCCAGGTCTGCTCTAACCTGATTATCTAGTGTTTGATCATGGTGTATAAATAGCTTCACAAATATGCCACCTCTCTGTGTTTAGAAAGGGTATTTTCCAAATGGAAACTTCTGCTGTAACCGACAATGAGCCAAAGGTTATGTATGCTTAGTGCTTTATTAGGGTCTTAATTCAACATTTCAGAAAGCTCTAATGTAAAAAAGCTTAATATACAGCCATTTGTTTTATGAGTTTATGGTGCACAACGTCTGAATTGTTGCCTTGGGAGGGGAACAGAGGGTGCAGACATCAGTACCACTTAAGTTTTGTGTCTTTTGCTTTTTAAAACCTAGAGGCTTCTTATTTAATCACAGCTATGGCCCACAAATCTGAAAATTTACTGTACACGATCCATCAGCCTCCATGACTAGCAACAATTCTTCCTAACTAATGTAATGCAGACAGACAAAGGGATATGAAAGGATGAAGTTTATGTGTTTGCAGCACAACGTTTTCTTTTTTTAAAGATTTGGTGAATCGCCAGAGCACAGCTCATGTCTCTTATTAAGCTCAAACTATCCTCCTTCAGTTGAACAATTTCACGGTGTCTGCATTAATACAGAGAAGAATGTGAGCCTTTAGATTGGAAGACTATCTTTGGACAGGGCTCTGAGTCTCACGCTACCAGGATCATGCCTTAATCACATTCAGTGTTTGGAGAGCTGTCACGTAGTGAAACATAGCCGTGCAAGGAAACAAGAACAGAGACCCGAGGCAAACTGAAAGTTTAGCTGAACACATTGTCTTTCCCTCTGTGGCAAAGACAAGGAAAATTCTCTTTTCAAAATATTTCGTCCCATCTAGGATACGAACTTATTATCCCAAAGCAGTATATAATGTGATTAAGTTACAAGGATGCATGTTGCTGGTGTTAGAATACATACCAACCCTTTAAAAAGATATATTTTCTCACTAGACTAAGATTTCCAGCTTGAAAGGATTTCACCAGGAAAGCTCCGTGCTATGAAACCAAAATGAGATCATCCTAGACTTCCTTATTTGTTGTAGGGAACAATAGAGAGCTTCCTGTCATGATACGACTGCCATTTCAAAGCCAGTCTGTGAGAAGAACATCCATAAAACTACCTACCCGACAGTCTCTCTGCAGAGTCTTCATGAGGTTGTTGTACGTCTCGGCGTCAAAGTAAAGCCCCTCCTCGTGCATGTCTTGAAAGTCCAAGTCTTTGTAGGTCGGACAGGCCTTCTCTCTCTCTTTCCTGGACGCTCGTCTCTTATAGGTGGATCCCTTCAGGTCGTATTTGTAGTGCATTTTGACAGAGCGAGGCAACACATTGTTCATCACCACCAATCGGATGTTGATGCCTCCAGACTGGATGCAGTACAGGCCGTAAAACTTGGGAAGCAAAGTGCGTGGATTCTGGTTCAAGTTCTGTGAATTTAGAGAAAGCACAGGGGTCGCAACGACGTTGAGTTTTGTAGACTGGGTGCATTTTTTAAAAGATATATTAATGTGTGAGATAAAAGGAAGCAGTTTGGTAACTAATTTGTGCATGGTCAGAATTATATTGCAGATAACTGTGACGTACCTACCCCAGATAAGGAGCTCTGTTAGTGTTTGTAGATAGAGCTATAAATTGTGGACCATCTGTTTAGTATTTCTACTACTATAAAAAAAAAAAAAAAATCTGTAGCTCCGCTGATTTAAAAGAAATAAAAAATAGACCTTTGCAGAGGACTTTAAACTTGTGCAAAGAGCAAACTTCTGTGTCAGACATATCTGATTTTCATGCCAAGAAGAGTGCTGAGTCTTCTGTTACGGCTCAGAGCACAGCAGTTTTCAGTAGAATGGCACATAGTGCCCAGTGAGCGTGCTTTTCGATTTTGCTATAACATTCAAGGAGTTGTCCAAACTGTCTCCCAAAGTTAGACTGCTGAGGGAAAACATTCAATAGACAACTCAAAATTTTGTGAGTGTATTTTTTTTTTCCACATTAACAAAGTCTTGGCTCAACACCTTCAATTCTTGCCAGATATGGTTCCCTGCGACTTTACCTTCTTCTCCAAAAAGAAAACATTCAAGTGAAGGGTTGCCGTTTTGACACAGTGGATCAGATCTAAAACACACTACTGGAGCACAAGTTTAAGTGGTCAGAACAGCACTTCTATGAAAGGATATATCTAAAAATAGCAAGCGGTGAATAGAAGTGGCGAATTGCTGCAGAAGAGGACTAACTGGAAGGGGAAGACTGCGTATGGTTTAAACTCCATATGTGGAAAACTTGGCACCATGTACACTCCATGCTTCACTGATGTCAAGCAGAATGTGGATGCAATAAATAAAAACATGAATAACAAAATGAACTGATCAAATTTTGGACTTTTATCTATGCAACTACCACTGTCCTCAGTCAAGTTGAATTGCTATTCAGGCTCCTAGTGCAGGAGCTAAAGAGCATTTTCACTCCATCTCATTTTTGCCTCTGAAGCATCTCATGAGTAATCACTCATTTAACACCGAGCGGGTTTTAGACACCAATCAGCAAGAATTTTCACATGCCATCACGAACTGTAATGAAGTAACATTAAACTTCTCACCATGTAGTATCCAGGTAGCAGCCTCTGGAGAAACTTGGCCTCCTTGTGCTGAACGGTTTTAATGATGAACTCATCGTCGCTGGTCAGGTAGAAGAGAGAGCCGCTGGCCCCGGGGTTGACCAGCTCAATCAGAGGCTCGTTTACCAGGGAGTACTGAGGAAGAGAGCCATAAACATTTCATATCTAATACATCAAATTCACAAATCAACTCTTTATGGTATAGCTTTGCACGCAGCAGAGCCGGAAACAGAGGTCCCTCGGCTGGTGCCATAAAATTGGAGGGCCGCTTTTGTAATGAAAAATCAGCCCCAAAGTCTACAGTTGTTCACATGCTTATCGGAGAAAGCAGAACCCTGTCTACATTTGTTTTATTGTTCCATTAATGCCAGCTCTGCTTCACATCAGTCTACTGTTTATCTGTTTGCCAAACTTTATAGGCGCCCACGGACATGTGAATCTTCCTGCTAAGAAACGAGAGCCTCCGTCCCGCAGTGCCCATCTACATACAAGAACCCGCAAGACTGTAGAGAAGCGTTAAGATATTAATCAGTGCATTATGAGAGCCACATTTTCAAAAGAGAGAAACACTGGAGGCATCCACTCTCCCTCTCCAGAGACTCTTCCACTTGATGACCATCCACAGTCACGTTGCGTTACCAGCACTATTTGCACTGAGGCTGGCTGTGTATGCGTGTCCACATTCTCTCCTAATTAGACACCGCAGTGTGGCCTCCGCCTGAATGAATTCATCATCACCTCAAGGACATCAGTCATTAGCACTACTCCTCAACGCTGGCGGGCCTTACGCCATCAACCCTCTTCGGCCTTGAAATAACTTTTTAATCTCCGACTCTCTTCTGGAGCTTTTTGTCTCTCATCTATGCAGAAAAGAATCTGGCCATCAAAAGGAACAATGTAGCCTGATGGGTTTAGGAAAGACTTCGAGGCATAAGGAACGCAGGAAGATGCCGCCACAGCAGGATAAAGGTCAGAGGAAATCACACCTTTTTGAAATCTAATTTTATTTATATACAGGTAGAGTATCAATTTAGCATTAAATTAGAACTGTCAAACGTTTGAAATGAACACCAAAGACTTCAGCCAGGGAATATTTTCACAGACAAAAACACGTGCAAACGAGCAAAAACAAAAACATGAATCACACAAAATGCTTCTGTCTAAATGTCAAAATGTGTGCCTGTGAGTCTGCTGGGAAATCACTGCATGTGTGAGGATTACAGCTGTGCTAATGAGGGCACATGCTCTGTCATTATTAGCTCCAGTATCTCCACCACCCCAATGTTTTGCCTTGACTTCAGCCTCCTGGGGACTGCAGCATTACTGAACCTATTGGATTCTACATTAGTCAGCATTTAGTTGGTGGAAAGAAATTCCAGACAGACAAAAATAACGAGGAATTCTCTCTTCTTTATCAGACTTACAACTGATTATCTATGTCAGTTTGTGACGTGTGCATGTAAGAACCAGGTGAATCTCGCTGTAACACAGGAAATCTCAGCCTGTGTGGTTGTTTCTTTGGCTGCCCACTCCTCCTACACAACCAGGGAGATGACAAATCAAACTTGGCATGTAGAACATCTTAAAAATGCATCTACGTCATTACGTAGACTGGCAACCGCCTAGCAACAGCCTTAAAATGATGCGATTTCAGCATTTGCCCCTGTAACACCTTACGTTGAATGTGAAGTTATAGCACCTAGCAAGCAGTTAGCTGAGCTTTGCATCGAGGCTGGAACAGGTAAAAAAATCTAAATCCAATGTCATAGATCTCACTAATTTATAAAAATGATCTCTGTTTAATCTCATAAACAGCAGTGAGTTTATGCGGGTTATGTGCAGGGAAATACTGGGCAGGCAGTCAGTGACAGGAAGTGACTCAGCATATTTTCTTAAATGTCCTTTTTTTTCCTTTAAGTCTTGAAAGTAAAAACTTAAAATGACCTTTTTTTACCCCCTTGAATAGGACCAGCAGGTTCATTTCAGTTGCTGTGCTGAGAAATGAGAGTGCACTAGATTTGCTTCCTGTGGCATGGCTCCATACAAATGAGGTGGTGATCCAGACGGAGCTGAGGTCTGGATTATGAGCATGAACACAAATAATGACCTGCAAGGTCTGCCAGGTTTTAGTCTTACCAGGTAGTCATCTGGCTTGATGCCGAACAGATCTCTGAAGTAGCGGAAGGCCAGCGGGGCGTACGTCTTGAAGCGGAAGTCAGGATAGTGATGTGCTGGAGTCAGGTTGCTTCCCTCACTGGTAATATTTGACCAAGACAAGATGAGACAAACACACAAACGGGTATATTAGATACATCTTTCAACACTAACTGACATGAAATTTAAAAAAGAAGCTTTAACATTACAAAAGGAAACATGTTAGTGTCAGTAACACAGATGCATTCTCGCGCCCCCTGGAAAACTGGCACTACCGGGGGAAATGAACACCAGCACCTAATCTTTGTGCCTGGTATCTACGCTATTGACTCTGGGTAATTTTATCAGAGGGCCCTTGTATTTTCTTCCATTCCTGCTTGAACAGGCTTCAGTAAGTCCTCTATGGGAACCCAGATTCACCAGCATTGTGCTAACAGAGATAGGTCTGTATAGAGTTCTTCGCCTGGAGACTGAAGATGGCTCTAATTACTGGATCGAACAATACCAAATAAAAAACATGCACTTCAGCTCAAATGGGGAGAAAATGGCTCAAATAAAAAGGTGTAAAACCAAATAAAATGAGACACAATAACCTGCATGGTTTTTTTTGTTTTTTGCCAAGCGTGGAGTGGGAGACGTTTCCAGACGGGCTTCGACAAAGGCTGACCCTGTTTCTAACTAACCTAACCCATAATCCTGTAAGTACATTGGATAAGGGTAGCGTGAGTCAGCCGTCGAGTCTTTTTTTAAAGCTAAACTTTCATTGGAATCAGTTTTGTAGTTGCAGAAATAGGTTAATAAAGGTTTTGTTTCCCAGGGCACCTCTAAATCTGGTTACTTGGAAGCTGCTCTGGGTAGAGAGGCCCCTTTGTTGTTCCCTGCGTGTGCTATATTCAGTGACACGGAGGCAAGGCGCAGGTGTAACACTATATCTGTGATCACACAACAATGGCATTTGAATGGTTTGTTTAGTGCGCGAGGACAACGGGAATCATTTGCCACTGATTGAGAGTCTACTTAAAAGAAAAAAAAACATTAAGCAACACAAGCGCCCGGAAAATTTTCAGTCTAATCAGGGATTCATCTCCCTCTCTGTGTCTGCGTGAGTCTGCGGAAAGGTGTGAGACAAACTGAAAATTAAGCGTGTGGGAGTCAAAGCGACATCTCCGTTTCCATCGTTTAGTCACTTGTTCAGGGTAGTCCTGCGGTGGGAGGAAAGAGAAGGGTTTGTGTGCTATTACAGAACAGAAGATAAATGCTGAGGGAAAGCAGAAAGAATAAAATAGGAAACGGTTATGTCAGAATAAAGATGTAAGACATTCATTTTCTCCCCTCACTCATTACACTCTGTTTGTTCTGTCTTGTGTAATTTTATTTTCTTCCTAACAACATGGCCTAGATTCTCTCTCCCCCTGTGAAAAAGGTGGCCCTGGAGACTGCCACCACTTTCATTTTAATTCAAACTTGGGCTGGATGAAACAAGCCTCATTTTAAACCAATTCTCGCTCGTCATTTTGCGCTTCAGAGCCTCAGCTAGTGTTGCCAACTCCTCAGTAAGGAAAATCGCTATTGGTTGTCCTAAAAGTCGCTAGAAGTCGCTAAATGACGTCATCGCCTAATTTGCATAATTGGTCATGCTAATCTAAATTGTAACCTATGTTGTTGGAGAGAGAAATAACATCGTGGAAGAGACATAAAGTGAGTAAAAAACGTCCTAAATGCATTTAGAGTTTATTTAGAACTACAAATTAAATTTCTTTTAGCAATTATTGGTTTTTTTAATGTCACAATTCCACCCCTGCTCCTTTACCTGGGCTTGGACTGGCAAAAGTGACCCGAAATAGGCACTCTGGTGGAGTTACTTTGTGTGTGTGTGTTTATAAGTAGTTTTAAACCTTGTGATCCACAAAACTGCATAAGAGTAAAAGAGTAAAAGAAGAACTGACTGCGTTACAGCACCCGCTGCTTGTTGAGAGTAAAAGCGATACGCGCTTTCACGTCTGTTTTTAGCGACTTTTTTTAGAAAAAAAGTCGCTAAGGGGTCTGAAAACTCGCTAAATATAGCGACAAAGTCGCTAAGTTGGCAACACTGGTCTCAGCGAGAGATGTGGAGTTTTCATCAAAGTCTTGAAAATCATCAGGGCCTTTATCAGTCAAACACAACAAGAGCTTTGTTTGGCTGTTGCTGAGGAGCAGGACTGGTGTGCGTGCCAGAAGGAGGTTTGCATAAACCATGCCCAGTTTGCATATCCTGGTGCAGCATCTCTAAGGTAAACCACAAAGTACATCCTGATAGGACTGTAATTCTCCTCCTGACGTCCAAGGGTTAAACACAACATTGAATGACCTTGGATGTATTTACACTGGGATGGACAAACAGCAACTAATAGACATCTTTTGCTCAGCTGCTCCTGATTTAATTTGTTTTTGTAGTTCCTCTACAGCTCTAAAAGAAAACAAAAACTGATAAAGTATGTGCCGCAGCATCAGCTGTGTGTTAATAAACCATATGTGTGGACATAAGGCAACACTTTCGATGAATTCCTCGTCCTGCTTTAGATTATATAAAGCATTTCTTTGAGCTGATGATGTAATTTTGAAGATAGCTCAGCGGCGCGCCGCCGTACGTTTTGCTCTGTGGCAGTTAAGAGGCACACAGTAAGCTGATTCCACAGTTCTTGGCAAGATAATCCACTAGAATAGTTTTATCCCTGCGTCATGACTTAGACTAGCAAAACTGTTGATAAATGATGACGCTGGCAGTTTGAGGTGGTACCACATTTTCTTTGGAGTGGATTTCGAGCGCATGTAGTTTCCACCGAGCGGGATTAATAACAGCGGTTAATGTTTTTCATTCGAGATCCAGACATATAATATTTGCGGAGGCCGTCCAGGCGAAGCGTGCCCTTCACTCACTTCCCATTCGTTCATTCACAGCCAACCTACACACAGTCTGTTTTTACGAAGCAGCTCTCCTATTCACCAAGTCCTGCAGATAAATAACCTTGAGCTTACGCGACAAGGACACAAACCTTCAACGCACAAAAACACATATGCTGAGAGAGTGTTTCTGTGAATGTAACACTGTGGATGTGCGTGTGGGATCACTGACCTGGGCAGAAAGACACTCTCCACCACATAGAAGTCTTGCATAAGAACATCTCTGTCAGGCTTGGAGGTGAGGTTTCCCACTGTATAGCCAATACCAAGCTGAATGGCTCCCTTTAACGCCGAGGATGTGGTCTGGATGGGAAATTCGAAAAGAAAATATCACATTAGTCTAGCCGTGGCACACTTGCTCCCTTGTTTACCCTTTGATTTGATTTGAAATATGAGAATTTCCACACAAACACATCCAAATGCACTTGCAGACTTGGACACAAATCCAGTTTGTGTTTTTATTGCATGACACCTCTAAAACATATTTCCCCAAACCTGAACAGAGGTAGCTAGTATAAAGAAATGCATTATGGGTGAATCTTAAAAAAAGAAAAGAGAGAGATGTTTCCATAAGGAGTGACGTCTAGAGTACAAGAAAGAAAACAAATGTACCCAGCACTTGACTGACTGCTGGCAGCTGGCTGTGGGAGGGTCACGACATAATGTGCTGCAGAAGGAGTTAAGGGACTCGAGTGGCTCAGAAGCAAAAGCTGACTCTAAACAGCAGCATTTCCAAGTAAATGTTAAGGGATCGTGCTCATATTCATCATAACATGAAAATGTTACCAAACACACTCTTTTACCTTCTTGTAGGTTTTCTCTGAGCTCCGATTCCCTCCTGTCCCATTTTCTGTGGCCGTAGACATCTAAAAGTGACACAAAGTCATTCAGGCAACAAACTATAACACCGTAATTCTTGTCAATTGTCGTATCACTCTAAAATTTACTGAGCAGTCAAAAGCATACCTTGCTTAATGAAAAGCTGTGCCTGACGAGCAGCAATCAGGGCAGCAGCTCTTGATTGTCAGGCTGAGCAATCATCAGGAGTTGTCACAGGACCTTCTGTAAGAGAACGGGTGCCCAGTAAGTTACTATAAAATATTTTTAAAAAGGCACTGACATTGCATTAAAGTAAGTGAATCTTGCTGATTCTGCTAATCTCCACCTGATAAAAAAGGCACTTTAACTCTGACAGTCACTCCTGACTCATGAGATGTACATCTGTGTTTTGTAATAAACAGAGTTCTGCTCGAGTGCCGTGTTGGAGAAACAGTCCTTTCCTGCCTGTCACTTCAACACCTCACAAATCACAGCGTGCAGATACAGAAATCTTGTTACACTTTAATCTAATCGCCGGCTTCTCTGTTTTCATATTGCCTCCATATTCAAGACTTTGTACGTGCAGAACAACACCTCATAAAGGAGTGGAGCTGCACAGCGTGTCACTGCCCGGCTTACAGCTCATCCAAGTCCTCCCTGAGCCACAAAGCACCAGTCTGTCTTGTTTCTACGTATGCTCTCCATGAATTTTCTACTCCTCCTTAAAATGTGTCTGTTTTTCTCCACTAACACTCCCAGAGAAAATGAGACAGAGTGGCGTAAGTCATTTAAATGTTGCCTCAGGACACACTGAGAAGAAGTGAGGAGTAAGAGCACTTGCAAAAGTTGGACTTTGACAAGCTCTCGCAAGGCTGCAGTCACCACATCACCTGCATATAAATGCGCCTGCTGTTACTGGAGCTTTGAGTATCGCACATGTCTTGCTGCCCTCATGCCCTGCAGTCACCTGTTTTGTGACCAGCTGTCACATCATCATCACATCATCGCCATGCAGTGGAACACTAATTGAAAAAGTCTTGTTTGTGTTTGGTTCTTGCAAAGTAAAATCCTTGCAATATGTTGCACCTTTGTTAGAAATAGTCTCCAAATGGGAGTAAGGTGCACTTGGACGAAAATACGCTCACACACAGAGATTCAGATATTGAGAGGGTAGCAGACACTCAGCTCTTATCTCCAGACTGGCTCCTGATCTGCACACCAGCTTCTCTGTTGCTATAAACACATAAGAGACAATAGCACAGACCACAGAGACCATCCTGGCTAGAGGCTTACTCGGTCTTATTCTGCCTCTGTGAATCATTCATAGCTTTTATATCACCTTAAAAACAATTTCCTTCCTTACGAAAAGGACACGAGCACATTCGCTCACACAACAAACCCAATATGGTTTTTTGTGCGAGCTCCTGTTTTTTGTAAAGCTCACGTCTGTCATAAAATCCTGTTATTGATCTCGAGCCTCGTCAGTCAGTGTAATGAGGTGCTGATCCACCTGAGCCTTTACACTATGTGCCCTGAGCCTGAGGAATGTTAATAAGCCCGTAGGCAGGCCTGTCTGGCTCTCAGCTCAGCACCGGCCTGAGTGTCAGTGTCAAAATGAATTGTGCGGACCTCTCTTTCGCTCTCTCTCTCGCGCTCCAGCCACCTCTCCCTCACCTGACCCCACAACCCAGCTGGTACTCTAACAGACTGCTTCGAGAACAATCCACGAGAGGCCCGCAGCTGCAGTGAACAACAGCAGGTCTCTTGTTCACCTCTCAACAAAAGAGAGGCAGACAGATGGTCGGTAAAAATGGACGGAGGATCCTAATCAGGAGCGTCTCACCGCTGTCAAACACTCCCATCCCATGGTAAATGCCACTCACACAGGACTCTAACGAGGAAAACAAGAGTACACTGTACACGTGTAACACAATACCTCGTGTTTCACAATTACATTAGACGACCTCGCTAACACAAAAACGCAGCTTTGTTAAATCAATGCCTCTGGTAGACAGTGGATGTGGATATTTGTGGTCTTGGGCGAGAACCAAATGGGGAAAGTGATCCAACGGGTCAATAAAAAGGAAACTTAGTACATGAAAGCCTGAGTCTGAATGGAAAACTCACACAGGCGCGTGCATAGGGAGTTGATATTTCTATGCCTTTGTGAAAAAGCAAGTAAGGTCAAAGATAGTCTATGTTACGATAAGACTTTGCAATGACCTGAAGAAAATTCCTAAGCAATGCAGGAAATGTCATTCCAGGATCAGCTTTCAACAACTTGATAAACTAAACGCAGACATTAAAGCCATTTAGTAAAACATTAAACTTTTTCCCTGACTTACCACAACTTCATTATGAAACGTTACTTTTCGAGCACCGTGTCCTTCCCTTCTTGTGAAGCTTTTTTTGTTTGTTTTTTTTCTTTCTAAAACTTTGCATTTACCTCTCATCTCTCCCTGAGCCTCACTGTACGTAAACAACTCCATTCCCACTCGTCCCTACAGCCTTGTCAGAAACTCTACCACCCTTCAAACAAACACACTTGAGTGCAGATCAAACACTGGCTCTCATGCCGTATCTCCTCCGCGGCTTCGGGGTTATTGCCAAGGCTGCCATTCTGCCCCTGTGGAAGTCAAATAGCCACTCTGCAGCCAAGGCAGACCTTGCAAGGAAAATATGTTGCAGAGAGCAGACGTGGGCTGTCTGGTATGATGATTATGCAGATTGAATAAATCTAAGCTGTCAAAAACTCAAAGTAGCTGTGCTAATATTCCCTCAATGATCCCAGCGGGCAAACCAGTAGTAATAATAAAGGCAGTGGTCAGGCAGATCAATCAACACATCATTAACCATGCTACGGAAATTATACTCTCTTCAAAATGATCTATATCTACCAGTGCCCTTCAGTAGAATAGCTAGGCTAAAATTAGGACAATCTGGATCACAATCTTTTTCAAAACCATCTGACTGAATACCTCACAGCCTTGAAGTCATAGTCAACAAGGCTCCCACAGTCTCCATCTCCAGAGATATCACATATGGGTTCCTTTTGCTCTGCTTCAGTCCCCGGATACTATTGGATTACTGCTGCAGATTGGAGACATAATGGAAAATCAATAGCAGAGCAGCAATGCTGAGCTTCAAGGACTGGGCTGCTGGGCTTTCATGACCCATGCAATCCCACAACTCAGATGTTAGATAAGCACCGAGATCTGGATTTGGGTGGATACAATCAAGAAGATGCACGGGGAGCCAGCTTAGTCAGCCTGAAGGGGATCAGCTTCATCAACTTAAATGCTCTCATCCTTCACAGAAACTCGGGATGTAGGGCATTCAAAAAATATATACTCAATATTCCCAATAAATACACAGAGAAAAGGCTCATTGTCTGTATGCATCTGTCATGTGGGGCAGTGATCATTATACTTTTGATACCAGTGCTCTTTTGGTGTGTCAGTGTGATTACCTAAGGACTTTGTTACCCCCATCTTGATACAGTAAGGCAGACAAAGACCATAACAGCAAGGAAGAACTACAGTTTAGCATGTATAGATACATATAGGTTTTCTGGTCCAATGCACGCACGCACACACACGCACACACGCACACACACACACACACACACACACCACACGCACACACGCACACACACGCACACACAAATACAACAGAAGAAGCCATTATAAAAGAAGCCAGGTATCATTTTGACCTGTTTTTGGCACGTTGTGTTCCATATTTTACGACGTGCTCTGGAGGTACGTTTCTTTTCATCTTTGCTCAGATGTAAAAGCTGTGATGCTGCTTCAGAGTAGTGTTTGTCCCTGAACACCAGGCACTATGCGGCACTGCAGAGCTTTCCAAGTGTTTGCGTATGTGTGCAGCAGGAAGGCTACATGATGAAATCAGATGTCGTGTCCAAATTCATGGGCTGCATCCTCCTGAAGCCGCATTTGTAGACCGATTACGTCACAGCGACGCGCCGAAGGCTGTCCAAATTCGTAGACCCCTCCGAATGCAGCCGACAAATGCGTCCTCCTTTTTCCGAATTTGAAGGATGGGTCGGGTGTGTCCTTCGTGGCCCACCATATCCCAGAATTCATAGCGCGGCCCAGCCAAGCTCCAGTTTCCAACAATGGCGGCCGCTACTAAGTTTTAAAATTACTCTTATTAATCTTTCTGGGTCACAAAATAAACTTTTAACATATTTTCAGGCGAGAAAGTAGCTGTGTAAACATCAAATATCTGCTCGGTTTATCAAGATATCGCATCTTTGCTAAAGTGCTTCGACGTTTTCGGAGACGTCTGCTACCCACCAGCTCGATAGCTAGCCGGGAGCTCGAGGGTTACTGATGCGGCCGAGAATGGCACAACTCCCGGCACATCATTTTCAGATCACCGCGGACTTTCGCTGCTCGGGTTAAACGTTGTCAGCCGGTGATCAGCTGATCACGGGGCCGGGGTTAAAAGAGAGACGCCACCCACCTGAGCTCCGAAACTCTGCCAACGTCAGTCTCCGCCTGATTCAGCAACCGTGAGTGATTATCCCTTCAATCCTTTTTCTCTTCCCAGCTCCGCTCGCTCTCTGTCGGTAACGACCGTTCCGAAGCCACGCTTCGTGCACTGATCGTTACTAGAATAACTGTGTGCCTGCTCCAAACCCACCGCTAGCCTTCGCCGCGCTTGGGTCTAGCCAGCACGCCACACGGGCACGCCGAATTACTGTGTGTAACCCGCCCGGCCGTGACAAACGTAATATATAAGTCACTTAGACAACCTAAAAATGTTATTGTTGGGCTTTTTTCAGTGTTTTGTTTGTTCGTGAGTAAATCGGTTTGGCTGAGATTAAAGTTATTAGATTAGATAAAATAAAACTTTATTAATCCCCCGGGTGGGTTCCTCCTTGGTTTTTACACAGCTGACTAAACGTGAAACAGAAAACTGATTAAACAGAAGTGTGAGATGGCCGAGAGTTTACTCCAGTGTCCTGTTATATTTTAGACAGCAAGGAGCAGACGGCTGAGTTTATTAAACTCCACCGACACAGCGGTGACGCTAATCAGAAGGCTAGACCGTCCAATTTCACGGCCGTTTACTTCCGGCCTACCCGATCTTCTGAGGACCCGGCCCACGTAGACCGCGAAGGCCGGGTCCTCAGGAGGATGCAGCCCATGAATTTGGACACGCCTAGACTAAAACGGCAGCCCACAAAGATGGCCGACAGGCTGGAGTAACAAACAGGT